CGCAAGTGAAATAAAATGCCGAGGATTCGCGTGGTTGTAACGAAGATCATCTTCGAAACGCGGGAGACTCCGTATTAAGCATCTTTTCCTAACTACGATTTTTCCACTACGAAATTTTCATATAATACATTTAATTTTTTTTACTTTGAATCGCCAAGATTTTGTAGAAAATATAACAGAAATATATTTAACCCTTTTGCACCTAACAGAAGGGTAAGGTTTGATTAAAAATTTCAAGTGGCCACATTTTTTGATATTTAGATGAAATTTTCCGTATCTAACGGACTACAGAATAAGAAAAGAACGTCGAAAGAGGAATCTAACTCGTAAATCAAATTGGCCCATGGGATTAAAAGGGTTAATAATCGCACAGAAAGGCGTAGAATAAGAAAATTCATTAGAAACATTAGAAAGTTATCTACCCAATGACTCGCTGATTAATTTTCTAAAAAACTGTGTAACAGAGGCGTAGCCTGCGCTCACAATCAAAGTTCATTAAGAATGCACCTGATTTCCATCTAAAGTGTGACTCGATATCGTAAGCCGAGGGGGATTAACACAAGCGAAATCTAATTTAAGAGTCGGGAAACTATGTTAAGAACCATTACGGAATTATTAAAGTTTCCGCGTGCACAAAGGGTTCGGGATATTAAACATTTTCCACGGGAAGAATATTCAAACAGGTTGAAGCTGACTGGGGTGAGAGACGACTCTCGCCCGATCCAACGGGTTAGAGAGCTGCTCGAGGCGCGACCGTAAGAAATAGAAAAGCTCGCGCGAGGTCTCGAGGAGAAGGTAAACAGGTCGGCGTGGAAATGGAATCAGCGAGATCTCTCGGCTTTAAAGGATCTTACGGGCTGCCTGACCCGAATGGGATCCTCCGAGGCTCTGTCGCCCTTCTGGATTTCTCGATACACGTATTCCATTCATTTTCGGACTAACCAGACGTTTGTTGCTCCCCTGACTCGGACGAACGCCTCACAATCTCATCGGTCTGCTGAGATTTTCAAAAATTCTTCATTTAATTGTACTCTTATTAAAAAAAATTAAAATTTTCTGATAAATTACACGACAAAATTCTAACACTGAAAATACGAAGTAATATTCTAAAGCGCTGCGAATTTTCGCGAACCAATTGATCTGCTGAGATTTCGAAAAATTCTTCAATCAACCATATCCTTATTAAAAAAAAATCAGGATAAATAAAAACGATCATTTGTAATAAATCACACGATAAATTTCTAACACTGAAAATACACCTTACAGCCGGCATATAAAGCGCTGCGAACTTTCGCGAACCAATTGATCTTGATTGAACTTCCCGAAAAACGTTTATATACGAATAAATTCGAATTAAATACGAATAAATTAAAACGAATAAATTTCTAACACCGAAAATACGAAATAATTCCAGAACAGAAACCCGCGGTTCGTTAGTACACTTGATCCGGGCTTAAATTTTCATTTCCGGGAACGCGAAATAATTTCCTGAAACAAAGTATCGTTCCATGTATCATTACCGCGATAATTTCTCAAAGTCGGAGTTTCCAGGATAATTTCAACCAGGCAAATTCCCTTCCCGTCCAAGAATACTCCATTATTCAAACGTTCGATCCAGCGATAACATCGTTCTCACGTCACGTCGCGGTATCTAACGAGGGAAGAAGAAAAAAAAAACATCGTGCAACTTGCGGCAAAGTACGAACCACAAGTTGTCCGACTCGTCAACGAAAATATTCGAGGCTGATCATCGGCTACGACGTACGAGGAAGCGCGACGGGGCTGGTTGCGTGCCAGCAAGTAGTAAAGCCCGCCGTTGGTCGGACACGATACGAAGAACCCTCCAATTAATTAAGCGGTGTACACATCGACCGCTCGGTTCCGCAAAAAACTCCGCTATTTCTTGCGTGCCTGGTGGGATGGAGTACTTTAACAAGCAAGCCAGCCCGTGGAAAACAGAACAAACACGAATTATCCATTAATTCGGTGCGGTAACCGCGGCCTTAAAATCCGTGCTGGCTCGCGCCAAAAACTTCTGCGACGATTGAACGACAAAGAGGAAGAAAAGAAGAAGAATGTACCAGCCTGGTGCTCGGCGCGATATTTCAACGTAAAATTGCTTCTGGCGCGGAGCAAACGAAGAAAAAAAGATTTTAAGCTGCAGCTTTTACGAGACTATTGTTCCACGATTTTATCAATTTCTGTGTTTATTAGGCGAGAATCTGCGAATTATTTCTCATCGTTATACACACGATATTGTGTTCGATCCTTTTCACTTTTCCCTCTCTCTCTCTCTCTCTCTCTTCGCTTGTATTTCTCAATGTGTTTAACGAACCGCTGAAAATCATATGACAATCCTCTTAACCGCTTTGCGTTTTCCCTTTCTACTTTTTCCTCTTCTTCTCCGCTTGCTTGCCTCTCTGCGTTCGCTTTAATTCCACGCTCGGCCGTGTATTCATCGCAGGATGAATGCATGTTTGTCGCTGGGTATTTTCCACGTACTCTACTCCGAAGGAACAAGCGAAAATATTCGTGGCTTTAATCAGCTTAAATGGGTCAGAAAACGCTCTTTACAATCGATCGCGGACAAAAAAGTAAATTCTGCAGAAAAAAAAGGCTTCGTTGAAATGGACTTGTACAAAGGATCAAGGAAAACCAGACGAAAGCAAAGAGGGTGTGTGTGGTGGTGCGAGTGAAACAGGTTTAGGTCGAATTGGTGGCGTCGAACCGGTCGCATAAAAGGGCAGCTAACGAAGCACTGATTGCAGCCGGTGCGCGGCGGTCTCTCGATTCGACCGTGATAAACAATCGTCTCTAGCAAGGTGTCCAAGCGTAGGATGTACGGTGTAAAAGCGCCACTAAAAATATAATGCTCGTTCGTGTCGCGTTGGCGTGAAACCACGGCCTGTCTATGGATCTGACCCCGATACACGTAACTGCCTCTAGAAAAAACAACCCCCGCTTTTATTGTTCGCAATAAACTGGCAACGCCCGGCGAGAAGAATCATCTCGACGCCAGAACGTCTGCTTTCACGTCCCGATCATTCTCTCCGCCTATGTTCTCATCCGCATCTTCGACCTAGCAATCTTTTCTTTCGGTGAAATATCAATCGCAGAGGGAAAAAGGGTTTCGCTCGAAGCTAGAAAATCGCTCGAGGCGTTTCCCGAGGATCGACGTTTTATCTCCGGGTGATCTATAAAAAAGGAACGTAACGCAGAGTGGCTATTTATAATACAGGGTACATAGACGTTCCATTTTTCCCGGGCCGCTTTGAAAGAAGCGCAGTCCCAAGGATATCCTACGCTCCGCTACCTAAGGAAAACGTGTCATCTAGGGTAGAAAGTTCGCCGCGGGGAATTATTGGTGGTGACAGAGAGAGGTGTTACCTGTGTGTGGTGGAGTTGTCGATGAAGTAGTCGAGAAGTGGACGAATTAGCGGTACGATTAATATAAATGGATCGTCGAGGGGAAAAGTTGTCGAGTAGCCTTTGAAAGAAATTTTCCCTCCTCGAGGAACATCGCGGGGGATATATAGAGCACAAAGATTATTCTCGGGGAAAGTTGTCGCCGCGCGAACAACTTTCTTCTTATTAAACCTCCGGGAACACGGTGCTTTTCTAATAAAGCATCCCCACGCTAGACTTGCAAGCCGCGAGAAGTTTAACGAGCTGTTAGCATATCCTCGTACCACTTCTTATCCTACTTGCGAGTTCCTTCGAAATTTCTCAAAGAAGAATCTTTCAAGGTGACAAAAAAAGAAGAAGACACTTGTTATGTTATCTTCTCTCTCTCTCTCTCTCTCTCTCTTGATAACGATACACGAGGAAGGGCTAACGAACCAGAGGAACGGTTAAGGATGGCTCAACACAGCCCTTAAGAAGCTTCGTGTCGAGGAAGGAAGTCTTCGGACAGAAACAGCTGACTCGCTGCAAAACTACCAGCCAGCCAGACAGACACAGCGGAGAACATCATCCCCTTTAGAAGGGCTCCAGACAGACGAACCCTCCAGGCAGCAGCCCTCCACCATCCTTCCCTATCCGACGACCGTCCCATCGCCATAGCAACCCCTTGGATTCAGCAGCTAGCCCAGCCAACCGATTTGCCCACCCCCACAAACGCCCCACGGTTGGGTTCGTTGTTCGAACATTTACATCAAACACGCCTTCCCCTTTTCGTTTTTTTATACGCACTCGAAATCAGGCAACCCTTTGTTCCCCTTCGGTCCGGGGGGCTACACCTGTGAGAGCCAGAGTGCCTTTGCAACGGCCATTCTAATTTACCTTTCATTTCTCCGATTGGCCAAGTGTTACGGAGGCACTGTGCGGTGGAAACCCGAAGGCTTCCCGAGACTTGTCGGATTAGAGCTACTTTGAAATCGCCGACACCAATTTTGCCTCACACTGTGTACACATATATGCGTGCTGTCATCGACAGTGTGTTTGCATCGAAATGTAAATTTACATACACGATAAAGTTTCCTTGGATTAATTATCTTTTAACCCTTTACATTGAATGTTTCAAAATGATCGTCACGAATGTTTTACTTCTCTTCGCTTTCTATAGGTACACTCGTTTTTCTGCTTGTTTTTCAAGTATGCAGGGAGAAATTTATTTAAAGAACGTCCACCAGATGATATTATCCCGAGCATAAAATCAGGCACGGCCGCGAGACGGCAGAATAAAAGATTCTGCCGGTCCGGTGGCCATTACAGAAACCACCGCCTCGGGGATAAAGCTCGGCGTTTTCACCGTGAAGTCGCGCGATAGCTCAGCGAGCCGAATGATGGCCGCAATTTCCGAAATTGCCGCCACTTTTTTTCGCTGGTTGCCTCGAATTACCCGCACGTCACCAAGCTGTTCCTCGACCTTCTTTAAGATCCGCGGCGTACGCGAATCTCCCGTCAGTCGCGTATCATAATTCATGAACAAAGTTACGACATCTACAACCAAAGCTGAAAAAACCAAAGAAGAAGAAAAAAGAATGTTCCACTCTTCAACGATGAAGATTCTTCCATTATCGAGCCTGTTCGTAGCTTCAATCATCGCTCAGGATGTAAAAACTATGGTGTTTCCGTTCTCCGGAAATGGCTCCGCTGCAGAATCACCGAGCAGCATAGAGTCTACTTTTCGACCGGATATGACGCGTTCTTCCGAGCCCCTCGCTCGTCCTCCGACCGTGCCTGCCAATTATTTTCTCCCCTGTAACATCTCGCGTATTCCTTCAGTGAATAGCCAAGAAGAGTAGTGCGCGAAACGAAGGGAGAGGCTAACGTTGCTACGCTTTTCAGCGCCGCAGAGGACGTACATCAATCACAGGAGCGACAGCCTGCCTTACGTCTACGAACATCCGCATTTCGGCTATCATCCTGTGGCGCACTCGATCGATTACCCCGTTGGACCGTCTTCGAAGCAGCTGGTAATCGTCAGTTTCATCGGTTTGCTGCTGCTCTTCGCCATCGTTCAGAACACGATCGCTACAGCGAAGCGGAGAGACATTCTCACGGACGCTCTATCCGCTAGAAGCAAGAGAGAGCTCTACTCTGCGTACCATTTCAATTCCGTGGTAAAATGTTGCATTTCTTCTCCGATCGAGAAGAGATTACCAACCTTTTCTCTATTCCAAACTTGCGTAATTACTAGCCCAAAGATAATATCAGATATGATTTGCTCCAATTTCTCCTATCAACGACACACTCCAAGAGTTCCTTTTCCTCTTTTCCCCCCGAAAGAAACAAAAATCGTATATTACACGTTCCCCGTTTCACAGACACCGGAACAGGAAGACGTTCTCAACGAGGACGCCAGGATACGATGCATCCAGAGAACAGTCTGCCTGGAGAATCGAAGGCTGTCGAAAGCGTTCGGCGCGACGGGCAAGATACTGGCCAAATACTTGACGTGAGTTCTCCCATCTACGGTTATCGCTTGAAATTTCATATTCCGTCGAGTATCGTCGCGACAGACCTTATTTCACCGAACGCCATTCGCACGCTGTTGGAATATTAAAGATTCTCCTCACCTTTGTGCGCCTTGGCCGACCAAGTTTCGTGGGTGTGTCCCGAGAGAGAGTGGGAGGATTTCGTTGCTCATGTGTGTTCGGTTTCAGACGTGGCGTGGAGAAATCGCTCAAGCCGACTTCCGGTTGGGATCGTCTGGTGCGGGACGCCGGTGAAGCTGGGATTCGTGGCGAGGACTGCGAGGTTCTTTACAGAGACTGCGAGGAGGATCGTCGATCAATGGGAACGTAATCGACTAGAATTAACGACAAGAACGATGTTAAGATAAATAAAGAACGTCACACTTTTACGGTGAAAAGGAAAAGGGTGTATATTTTCTTTTTTTCTCTCTCTAATTGTTTTACCAGATATATAATTACACGGGGCAAATTATGCGAGAATTTGCTGCAACGAAATTAGGAAAAGTTGGAAGAAAAGACAGACAGCCGGAGGAATAAAAAAGCGAGCGGTATTAATGACTTTTAATTTTAATTACAATATGCTGTGTTGTGTTTTTTTTTTTTTTGTTCTTTATCTGCTACAAACATCGACATCTAACCTGAACTATTTTAGATAGCAGTCCGCTCTCTATACACGCTCAATTTATACTCACTCCCTCACTCGCTCTTTTTCTCTCTCTCTCTCTTTCTCTCCAATCTCGTTCTCTCTCGTCGTCGGAATTATAAAAAAATATCAAATCACGAACAGAATGGAGACAAACGGCCGCACGTACTGCACTCCCTTTGTTACTCTTTTGTCCGTTACACATATTCTTCTTCTTCTTCTTTTCTTTCTTTCCTTCTTTGTTACCTCACATGTTCGTTTTCTCTTCATTCATCTCTCTCACCACCTCCCTTCCTCGTCTATCTATCTCTGATCCACGTTCCCCACCCCCCCCCCCACCCTCCACGCGTCACAACTAATTATACAAGTAACGCTATTCCATTATTATCGTTATATAACATTAAGGCATTACATATTTATAAATTCTTCGTGTGTTCACTCGCCACTATACAGCAATACCACGCTAAACTCGTTAAAACTTATGCTTAAATAGACGTGAGATCGCTCGTTGCAATAGTCCAGGCTTTTTCTCGAAAAGGAAAAAAAAACACAAGGGGAAAAAAAAGAACGTCTCTCGCGAGGACACGTTGCCTGCATACTGGACCGGAAGTGATATCACGATGTGCTTCTTGTTCTCCTTAGTTCCTTTTCTCCTCCCTGGCGCAGAGTGAAATTTCCATTTCTCTTTCAATCTTTTCGTTACTCTTTCGTATTTATATTTCGCTTTCGAAAATGAGTCTCATGCTTCGAGGAAGGTTTCGCTAAATTTCTTCACGAATCACCGAGGTACTTTCTTCCTTTTTCAGAAACACGTTTTGTCGCGGTTCGAAAGAACAAAAGTATATTCCATCGAAGACCACCCGGTGCCAGATGCATTCTTTGTTCCAGCTTTTCCCTCTTTCTCCCATTCTCTCGCTCGCCCTTTGCATTCGTACACGCTTCCTTTCACGCTCTCACCCTCTCCACGAGGCACACACGCACCCGAAATCGTCCCTTTTTCTCGGTATCACACACACACGCACGCTTAAATGTCCTGCTAATTATCGCGTCGTCAATAAATTATAGACACATTTGTTTGAGGCAACGTAGTTTGCACAGGCAGGCGGCAGGTAGTTGACGAAAAATATCCTCCAAACACCCGTTCCTCTCCTCTCATTTCTCTCTCTCACTTGCACGCCAAATTATTATCGCAACACAGTCGCGGAACGAGAATCGAACGTCGCCCGGCGTTACTATCCTTCAACGATCTCGTGAACAAGATCTCCTTTCACGATTTTCTGCCGTTTCTTGTGTTTTTTTCGTCGCACGATCGATCGATCGATCGAGTAAATCGGCTTGTCGTATGTATATATATATGTATATATAAAACTAAATCTACCCCTGAATCTGTTCACGTCCAAATTGTTAAAAATTAATCGACGGAAGTTTCATCAATTATAAACGGATAAAATCGATACGCGGCTGATAAAGGATGAGAAAGAATCGATCGATCCTCGTGTCGAATCGGTAAAGAATAATTAAAAAAAAAAAAAAACAACTTCGACGGAGTGTGTTCTCCGGATAAAATGAACGAGAAGAATTGTCACTCTTTGAATAAAAACGGAAGAAATAAAAAAGTTTCGCCTCGATAAAATGAGAGAAAAAAAAAATAATCGCACAGATTCCAACGGAAAATTTCTGTTCTGTTAAAAAGAGAAAAACAAGGATAACGCAACGAGTAGACGGATAACATTTCTTTTTTTTTAAAACGGAAAACAATTAAAATACAAATGTATAGAAACGAAAATCGAATATCTATAATGAAAAATAAAATACACAAGACAATAATCAACGAGTAAAAACGGTCGTTTATAAAAAAAAAAAAAAGTGCTACTAAAAACAAGAAAAAGAAAAAAATATACAGAAGAGGAGAGAAACACGCGTTGGAACGGAACACGATGCACGCGCCGGTATAAAAACACGTTTCTTTTACTTTTTACTTGCTTTATTCGCTGTAATCCATCATCTTTCCTTGTTCAATAGTCGATGCGATTTCTTTTCTTTTTTTTAAATAATAGGAAGTCTCCTGGCGCGTCCCGGAAGCGTCGTCGCTCGGACGGAAGGTGGAAAAGAAAATGAAAAGAATTAGAGTAAGAGTTGTGCCCGAGCGACGCGAGCCGGTTTTGAGAACGCGTACCGAAACCAACGGTTTCTCGAATCCAACACCGTCGATCGATCGATCGTGTAATATTAGATCGTTCTCCCTACCGTACAAAAACTGAATCCACAATTATGCCGACTAACACGATATAATCGATTAATCAATTAAACTATCG